ATATGTGTAATATTTTTTTTGCTGTATCTTTATTGTATTATTTTGTTATTTTGTTGAGTTAAAATGTCACACGCTAAAATGTCGTATTCGCTAATTTGACGCGCGCCAAGATGTCGTATGCGCTTAATTGTCATGCGCTATAATTTCCACGCCCAATTAACGTGCGCTGAAATTATCACACGCAATTGACGGTACACCTGAATAAGTACGTACGTACAAATATGAGATTTAAGGTTTTATACTTTTATTACATACGATTCCTACATACCTAAATAATGGTATTTTTTTTTTAGAGTTCTAATGGTTATGTTTTATTACTAGAATTATGCAGACTACGAGTATATAATATAAACATAAATATAAATGAAAAATTTAGTTTGTTAGTGGAAAAAATAAAAAAAAGGTGGTGTGCAAACAATTTACTTCTTTCGAGCATATATTATCTTCTGAACAAGGATATTACGCGATCTTTAGGGTGAATTAAAAATATTCTTAATTTCCTTGCTGTATAGCCTGTATACTATAGGTACATATCGTAAGTGTTGGGATTATTAATTAAGTATATAATATACATAAGTAGTATATACGTGTTATATTATAAAAAATTGTGACCATGTATTTTTTTTTATTTTTCAACTGCTATTGTAACAATATGTTAGGAGTCTTGTATTCAATTTTCAAGCTTTTCTACCAACAAATACATTTTTATCGATATTAATTTAAAAAAACTAACATTGATCGAATATTGCATACGTCTATAAATAGTTCAACCTAAGTCAACATTTTTTGAAAATTGCATAGTGGATATAATAAACTTATACAAACATTTTGATGAAAATTTCATGTATTTCATGATTTTATGCTYAACAACCATTAGAAAAAAAAGAAAGATTTTTTTCGATACATTGAGAGTATTAAATAATGCTCTATGCAATAAATATTATAATATTGAAAAACAGCCATTACAACATGGAGATTGTTGATATAATATGCTAATTACTAACGATAGGTTTAAAGCTCAACCAAATACCGTTTTTTGGATTGACGATATTTCCTGGACCTCGTATGTTGAGAGGTATTTCTGTTTTTTCACACGGTAAGACTTCGTATTTCAACAATAATTTTGATAGAACCAATTTCATTTCTAACTCTGCTAATCGTTTACCTATTTGAAAATAGTAATTAAAATGAAATTTATAAGGGCAATAMGRTTAAAAATCGTAACGGAGCACRTTAAATTTATATAGTAAGGTKTACCTATGCACAATCTCGGTCCGTCGCCAAACGGAATGTAAGTRCCATTAAGCCGTTTGGCTTTTTCTTCCGTTGAAAATCTTTCAGGATCAAAAGTGTYGGGATCGGGRTAATATTTAGGGTCATTGTGTATGGAATACGACGGAATAATAATTTTTTGTCCCTTTTCAATGACTAATGACTGACCGGGTACTTTGTAATTTTTCGTCGCACTTCTGAATAGGATCATGGTGATGGAATACATGCGTGAGATTTCTGAAAAATATATAGTTGTTTATTAGTATTAACTTGGGGTCGGTCGAGGTATTCACTAGGTACTATTTCTT